CTCCGACATTCTTCCCAAAAGCTATTCCAGCGGCAACTCGTGCCAACAAGTCAGTCAATTATCTTGTCCGAGACTGTGGATGGACAAAATCTTGCATGACCCCCTACGTTACACACGCGCGACGGTTAGTAATCGAGCTCCCCACACCCCTCGAATTTCAATGTTGCGCGCGCATATGGGTGATGCAGGATTTCGGTCATTCACACACATGCACTTTCAAAGCATTGCAAGGACAGCAATGTTAAGATTCAGGGTTTGGAAGGGATGACCTGCGTGAAAAAAGTGATGCAGGATTTCGTCCATCAACAGTCTGGAGACTGACAAGTTCTCGGAAACTCTGTCTCAAAGTCAACTGAGGGCCGTATGTGAGGGGCCAGGATGGGGCAGAAAGTCCGGGATGTGGTATTTTTCAAGTTTCAAATTGTTTCCGCAGTTGCAAATTAATTTTCAATCAGTTTCAAATTAGTTTCAAAATCCAGTTGCAAAATCACTGTTAAGGGGGAACTGCAATTTCTGTCCGCGCTTTTTGAAAACCAGGAACCTCTGAGATTCCTGTATTTTTTGAACCGCGCGTAGAAAAATGCAGTTTCCCCTTAACAGCGATTTTGCAACTGGATTTTGAAACTAATTTGAAACTAATTTGAAACTACGGAAACGAATTTGAAACTTGAAAAATGCGGCATTTCTGCTCTTTGGCGCTTGGCCACACTCGAGAAAGAGGAGAGCTTAGGCTTGAAGCTGCAAAAAGTACATCTCCCACATTCTTCCCAAAGGCCACTCTCCGACATTCTTCCCAAAAGCTATTCCAGCGGCAACTCGTGCCAACAAGTCAGTCAATTATCTTGTCCGAGACTGTGGATGGACAAAATCTTGCATGACCCCCTACGTTACACACGCGCGACGGTTAGTAATCGAGCTCCCCACACCCCTCGAATTTCAATGTTGCGCGCGCATATGGGTGATGCAGGATTTCGGTCATTCACACACATGCACTTTCAAAGCATTGCAAGGACAGCAATGTTAAGATTCAGGGTTTGGAAGGGATGACCTGCGTGAAAAAAGTGATGCAGGATTTCGTCCATCAACAGTCTGGAGACTGACAAGTTCTCGGAAACTCTGTCTCAAAGTCAACTGAGGGCCGTATGTGAGGGGCCAGGATGGGGCAGAAAGTCCGGGATGTGGTATTTTTCAAGTTTCAAATTGTTTCCGCAGTTGCAAATTAATTTTCAATCAGTTTCAAATTAGTTTCAAAATCCAGTTGCAAAATCACTGTTAAGGGGGAACTGCAATTTCTGTCCGCGCTTTTTGAAAACCAGGAACCTCTGAGATTCCTGTATTTTTTGAACCGCGCGTAGAAAAATGCAGTTTCCCCTTAACAGCGATTTTGCAACTGGATTTTGAAACTAATTTGAAACTAATTTGAAACTACGGAAACGAATTTGAAACTTGAAAAATGCGGCATTTCTGCTCTTTGGCGCTTGGCCACACTCGAGAAAGAGGAGAGCTTAGGCTTGAAGCTGCAAAAAGTACATCTCCCACATTCTTCCCAAAGGCCACTCTCCGACATTCTTCCCAAAAGCTATTCCAGCGGCAACTCGTGCCAACAAGTCAGTCAATTATCTTGTCCGAGACTGTCTGGAGACTGACAAGTTCTCGGAAACTCTGTCTCAAAGTCAACTGAGGGCCGTATGTGAGGGGCCAGGATGGGGCAGAAAGTCCGGGATGTGGTATTTTTCAAGTTTCAAATTGTTTCCGCAGTTGCAAATTAATTTTCAATCAGTTTCAAATTAGTTTCAAAATCCAGTTGCAAAATCACTGTTAAGGGGGAACTGCAATTTCTGTCCGCGCTTTTTGAAAACCAGGAACCTCTGAGATTCCTGTATTTTTTGAACCGCGCGTAGAAAAATGCAGTTTCCCCTTAACAGCGATTTTGCAACTGGATTTTGAAACTAATTTGAAACTAATTTGAAACTACGGAAACGAATTTGAAACTTGAAAAATGCGGCATTTCTGCTCTTTGGCGCTTGGCCACACTCGAGAAAGAGGAGAGCTTAGGCTTGAAGCTGCAAAAAGTACATCTCCCACATTCTTCCCAAAGGCCACTCTCCGACATTCTTCCCAAAAGCTATTCCAGCGGCAACTCGTGCCAACAAGTCAGTCAATTATCTTGTCCGAGACTGTGGATGGACAAAATCTTGCATGACCCCCTACGTTACACACGCGCGACGGTTAGTAATCGAGCTCCCCACACCCCTCGAATTTCAATGTTGCGCGCGCATATGGGTGATGCAGGATTTCGGTCATTCACACACATGCACTTTCAAAGCATTGCAAGGACAGCAATGTTAAGATTCAGGGTTTGGAAGGGATGACCTGCGTGAAAAAAGTGATGCAGGATTTCGTCCATCAACAGTCTGGAGACTGACAAGTTCTCGGAAACTCTGTCTCAAAGTCAACTGAGGGCCGTATGTGAGGGGCCAGGATGGGGCAGAAAGTCCGGGATGTGGTATTTTTCAAGTTTCAAATTGTTTCCGCAGTTGCAAATTAATTTTCAATCAGTTTCAAATTAGTTTCAAAATCCAGTTGCAAAATCACTGTTAAGGGGGAACTGCAATTTCTGTCCGCGCTTTTTGAAAACCAGGAACCTCTGAGATTCCTGTATTTTTTGAACCGCGCGTAGAAAAATGCAGTTTCCCCTTAACAGCGATTTTGCAACTGGATTTTGAAACTAATTTGAAACTAATTTGAAACTACGGAAACGAATTTGAAACTTGAAAAATGCGGCATTTCTGCTCTTTGGCGCTTGGCCACACTCGAGAAAGAGGAGAGCTTAGGCTTGAAGCTGCAAAAAGTACATCTCCCACATTCTTCCCAAAGGCCACTCTCCGACATTCTTCCCAAAAGCTATTCCAGCGGCAACTCGTGCCAACAAGTCAGTCAATTATCTTGTCCGAGACTGTGGATGGACAAAATCTTGCATGACCCCCTACGTTACACACGCGCGACGGTTAGTAATCGAGCTCCCCACACCCCTCGAATTTCAATGTTGCGCGCGCATATGGGTGATGCAGGATTTCGGTCATTCACACACATGCACTTTCAAAGCATTGCAAGGACAGCAATGTTAAGATTCAGGGTTTGGAAGGGATGACCTGCGTGAAAAAAGTGATGCAGGATTTCGTCCATCAACAGTCTGGAGACTGACAAGTTCTCGGAAACTCTGTCTCAAAGTCAACTGAGGGCCGTATGTGAGGGGCCAGGATGGGGCAGAAAGTCCGGGATGTGGTATTTTTCAAGTTTCAAATTGTTTCCGCAGTTGCAAATTAATTTTCAATCAGTTTCAAATTAGTTTCAAAATCCAGTTGCAAAATCACTGTTAAGGGGGAACTGCAATTTCTGTCCGCGCTTTTTGAAAACCAGGAACCTCTGAGATTCCTGTATTTTTTGAACCGCGCGTAGAAAAATGCAGTTTCCCCTTAACAGCGATTTTGCAACTGGATTTTGAAACTAATTTGAAACTAATTTGAAACTACGGAAACGAATTTGAAACTTGAAAAATGCGGCATTTCTGCTCTTTGGCGCTTGGCCACACTCGAGAAAGAGGAGAGCTTAGGCTTGAAGCTGCAAAAAGTACATCTCCCACATTCTTCCCAAAGGCCACTCTCCGACATTCTTCCCAAAAGCTATTCCAGCGGCAACTCGTGCCAACAAGTCAGTCAATTATCTTGTCCGAGACTGTGGATGGACAAAATCTTGCATGACCCCCTACGTTACACACGCGCGACGGTTAGTAATCGAGCTCCCCACACCCCTCGAATTTCAATGTTGCGCGCGCATATGGGTGATGCAGGATTTCGGTCATTCACACACATGCACTTTCAAAGCATTGCAAGGACAGCAATGTTAAGATTCAGGGTTTGGAAGGGATGACCTGCGTGAAAAAAGTGATGCAGGATTTCGTCCATCAACAGTAGGAAGTTCTAGGGCCGTGGGGTTCTGGGGATTTAGGGTCTAGGATTTAGGCTTTGGGGTTCTGGGGTTTTAGGGTCTAGGATTTAGGGTTTGGGGCTTGTTGGGGTTTAGGTGTTGGGTTGTAGGGGCTAGGCTTTAGGGCTTTAGGGGGGCTTGCTGGTGATCAAGGGGTAGGGGGGTAGCGACGTGCTGCTCTAAGGACAGATCTAAGGGTAGTTTCACGGGCCCTGAGTATGGTCCCTTCCCTCCTTCAAAAGGTTCTGTCAGGGGTATACGAGTGGACACACCACAATCCATACCAGAATGCCCAGTCTACGCCATCCAAAAGATGCCTCGGCTATACCCGAGCCTGCTCTACAACTTCGCTACCTGCGGACCCCCACTACTCCTCCTTCTAAGAAGCAGGGGTGAGTATGAACAGAGCTCACGCCTTAGACAGCAGTGATGGCGGAGCTTTCCTAAGATTTGCTGCATGCCCAATGTGGCCCGAAGCTATAAGTGCCCTGATCTGGCACAGTGCAAGCTGGGGGGAGGTTGTGCCGCTTCATCAGAGGCAGAGCCTGCAGCAGCCCCTCCTCCTTCTAACATTGGGGGGGGGGGGGGTTACGAACATAAGCGGCCCCCAAATTGTAGGATCCCCTTGTAATATGGACCCCAGCAAGGTACCCCCCAATTTCGGAAACCCCCACATGCGCTTAGCCGCAGCATGCTCCCCAGCTCACACCTCGCAGCATGCTGTTTCCCTTGGTTCCTATAGATGCCAGCCGCTTTCTGTGGTCGCCTCCTCATCAGCAGCGACTGGGATCTGCAACTGCCAGGACTCCCATTCGTACGTGCAATGTTGCAGTACATGCTTAGGTGGCTCAGGCTCCCGCAGAGACGCTGAGTTTATCCGTCCTAGACTTCTTGCGACCTTCTGCACATTGTCCTGCCAAGCGCACTCTTCGGTTTCGCATGTTTCGGCTCAGAGCAATTGTTACTTGTAAGTGTCAAGCGCAACGCCGGCTCATCTCGTTGAGTCACTCGAGATGGAGCCACCTTCATGGGACATGGGAGTAGACCTTCTATCAGCCACAGAGGCGGAAGATTTCGCTGTGACCCACGGCATTGACCTGACAGCATCGCGAATAGAGGCCCTGAATGCCATCACAAGAGTTGTCAGCGCCATGCCATTTCACAACCTGCACCTTCTGGCTGCAACTCCTGCTGATCGTAAACCACCAAATGGACAGGAGGTCAAGGCAGCCATGTTGAAAGGACAGGGCGGCTTGTGCTTTGTGAAGCAACCCTTTGCTGCTCACTTGTTGAAGGCGCTGGGCTATGTGGTCGAAGTTGTGCCAGGTTCCGTGACTCATCCTGGCAACCACATCGTCATTGTGGTCCACGATGTCCAGGAAAAGGGTGACCGATATTTGGTCGAAGTTGGCTGCGGCTATCCATCTCGCAGTGCTGTTCGAATCAGTGGCAGCGACCACGAAGGTTTTGAGTCCGTCTTCAATGACTCTCTTTCCTTGAATTCCGCTATGTGAAGGCTCCTGGAGAGAGCCTCATACGCCGAGAGCACCGGAGAGGCGACCCTCCTCGACCTGTGGTACCGGACTCCTTGGGCAGGACAGCTGAAGTAGATGGCTGGCGACGCTACTTCGACTTCTTCTACCCCCCAACTTGTGGCTTAGAGCAAGTGGATCAGGGCATGCGAGATGTGTGCACCCTTCCTGACGCTTCGCCATTCCTTACTAGCCTCCGCGCAGTTCGATGGGTGAATGGCAGGATGATCGCAATCAAGGATGTGAAGCTCCTTGAGGAGGACGAAGAAGGCAAAGTCGCAGTCACGGAGTTGCAGGATGCGGCGGGAATCCGCGAGAAACTTATCCTATATTTCCCGGAGGTCGACCCTCAGCATATTGATGCAGCCCTTGAATACTGGCATGACCATATTCATGCACCCAAAGTCACCCGGTGAGCTTCCACGTGGACCATGTAGAGTCCGGGAAGACTTGTCGCTACAGACCGCAGTGCAGCATTGCGAGTACACACATGTTTAAGCAGAGCTTAGGTCATTTTCTTTTAATAGAAGGAATGTCGCCGACAAGTAGCATTCGCGCGCTGCACTAGGCTTCTGTGGTGAGAGACCCTTGCGTATTTCGCTCAAGGCCCAAAAGACATTCCGTTTCGCAATGCCAAGAAACCTTCGGGACGAAATGGGCTCTAGACGAGTTATGGTCCATGTACCTTAATATCAAGTGCAATAGTAAAGGGTGTATTAATTACCCCCAACTGCAGGGTTAGTTTGGTCCCAAGGAGAGCCCTATGCCCGCTCCCCTGCCACTTTCGCCATTGCGAGAGGACAATTCCACACGACTAGATTCATCCTCGGTCTCCACACTACCGCGCTCAACACGCCGACCGGCCTCTACACCCACAAGCACCTTGGGTGGTTCTCGTTTATTGCGAAAATTTCTGCAACAAAACCAGACACCAAAGAACAAAAGTACAATAACGGATGCAGCCAAAATCTTCAACCGCGAACATGACAAGCCAGAAAACACAGGAAGCCATGGGCAAAAGGCCTGGGAAAACAAACGAACCTTCGCGCACGCACACACACGCACACACACACACACACACACAAATGCACATCAAAGCTGTTTTCAAAATCCGGCTCAGAGATCTTGGGGTTGGGGATTTCAAAGCTTTAACAAAATGCTGCAGGCTTGCGTTGTCTGCTTCAGAATTCTGACTTTGACCTAGCTGACCGAACTCATTTCCAGTCTCTTCTCTTATAAGTATTTTGCGAGCACTTGCTCGCCCTTCATTTTTCATTTGGTTGTCCAAAAAACAGTACTGATACCTCATGTCACATCTAAGCTTAATCTGTCGGGCATCCTTCGGTGTAAGTCCCATGGTCACTGGATGTTTTTTCCTTTTGTCTCACCCGCTTCAACCCATTCCCGTAGCATATCTCCTTACACGTTGGGATGGCCCTTTCATTGCAGTTTGGGGGAGCCGTTCTGCAATGTGCAGCTCTTGCTTTGCTTCCTTGCATCTCGACCGTTGCCCACCCAACCAGATTGTGGAACAGTTCGTGCGTAAGCATAGGTAGGCGGCTAGAGCGGGCTAAAGCCTGAAGCATGCTGAAACGACTCAGTTTCTGATGGTATACCAGAGTTCTTGCAAACCTGCTTCCTCATGGACACGTCGAGTTTCCAGGCCCAGGGTGCAAACAAGACTTCACTGGCTAACTGCCTCGAATTCATGCAGGTGTATGGAACTTACCCGAAAAAATCGCAGGACAAGCGATGATGCCGAAATAGTGCCCGTTACAGCAATACTGCAATTCCGAACTGTACATATTCCTAAGTAGCCCCTAAACAACCCCTAAAGGACCCCCAAGGTCTGGTCCAACCCTTTATCACCCCACCCTTCTTGTTTCTGGCTTCGCTCCGCAGCACCAAGACGCCACAAGGCGCTGTCCGCCAAGCATCCGAAGACAAGTAACAAGTAACGTGCAGACGAAGCCGACATGAAGCCCAATCTTGGACAATCTTATAGGGTCCTACCCGTCGCAGAACCCCAGAGAACCAGAGAAACTAAGAGCCAGTAATGATGCCCATACTGCTGGGGTGCCCCGGGCGAGCATCATGAGCATCAGGGTTTAGGGGGTTAGGGTTTAGGGTTTAGGGTTTAGGGTTTGGGGTTTCGGGTTTAGGGTTTAGGGTTTAGGGTTTAGGGTTTAGGGTTTAGGGTCTCACACCCATCATTAGCCGCTCCTCTGAGGACGCTTGATGCACCTCCACCACATCCCAGTGGAGCCGGAGAAGCTGTTCAATGTGCGCCTTGGAGGGAACTTCTCCCAACCCAATGCTACTATTTGCTTAAGAACCCCAAAAGTGCTTAAGAACCCCAAAAGAATAGAAAAGTAATAATCCCTATATTACCCTTGATAAGGAAGAAGATTTGTATTTCTTCGGGGTTCTTAAGCAATGTCTATTTGACTTGGCTGGCTCTTGGCAGTGCAAACCATGTGGGCTGCTGATATCAGTTTGGGTGGCCGAGCGGGGGGTGCCCGAGGTCGTTCAAACCTGAACGCGTGACCCGCCTTAAGCCCTAAACCCGAGAGAGTTCTCTGACCCCTTTTGTTTCCGTAAACCCTGAATGCCTTAGTAACTTAGTAGCTGAGTAGGTAACCCTTATCCGTACTTTAACCTTTTGGGGTATACAGAATCCTACAACATTGGAAAGGTGTTGGCCCAGTGTACTCAGCGACTAGGATGCAGCCCAAAACCCAAAACCCTAAACCCTAAACCCTAGAGGATTTAGGGTTGAGGCTGAATGAACTGAAGGCTGGAGCCCCGAGCCTCAGCTTAGGTCCCCGCCACCTCTGCCACCGCGCCCGCCCAAGGTGGACCGGTCTTGTTGGGTTCTATTTCTTATATTGCATTACATGTGGTATCTTGCAGATATGTAACAATCTATACATATACACATCTTTACAACAGTGTATGATTCTACATAGCTACAATATCTTTACCTCGGGGGGGGGGGGGGGTACGGGCCGGACTGGCAGTCAAAGAGCCTACCATGGCGGAAAGCTGGCGGGATACTAAATAAGATTTTAGGGGTCAGAGACCTACTTGGGGCTTTTTCGCTTATTTGGGTTGTTTTGGGGCTTTGTTAGGGTTTTAGGGCCTAGGGCTCAGGTTTCAACAAGGTTCCTGCTCTTCTGTGAGCATTCTGAGATCCAAGTCCCTGTGAGGCCTTGCGTGGGCTCGGGGCATGCCTATGAACCCAAAACGTTGACACCAAGTGTCCCTAAATTACCCGAGAACACCCTAAACCCCAAACAACCCTCAACCAAATAAAAGACAAAACCTAAACCGCACGTGGGTCCCCCCCCTAAACCCTAGTTAACCCTAAACCCTGAACCCTAAACCCCAAACCCTCAACCCTAAACCCTAAACCCTACTAAACCCTAAAAACCCTAAACCCTAATCCCTAAACCCCACGATGGGTGATGGGTGTTTTGAGTTTTGTTTTGTGCCTGTGGCAGTGCCAGGTCATCCCGAACCTCCCCGGCGCGGTCGAGGACATTGTCGACGCTGGCCTGAAGCAAAGCCAGAAGCGTTCTGGGGGGGCTCAGGGGTTCCCGAGCCTCACCCTAAACCCTAAACCGTAAACCCTAAATCTTGAACCCTAAACCCTAAACCCTAAACCCTAAACCCTAAACCCTAAACCCTAAACCCTGAACCAGCCCTAAACCCTAAACCCCCAAGCGGGTGTAGTCCCACAGAGTCTCTCCAAGGGCCCCAGGGAGTTCAAAGCTTACGGTGCGAGGAGTAGGTAGGCGCAGTGCGGTTGGTGGTTCAGCTTTCCCCTACTATATAGGGTTTAGGGTTCAGGGTTTAGGGTTTAGGGTTTAGGGTTCAGGGTTCAGGGTTTAGGGTTTAGGGTTTAGGGTTTAGGGTATAGGGTTTAGGGTTTAGGGTTTAGGGTTCACCCTGGCCTGCAGGGTTCCAGGGTTCGAGGGTCCTGGGGGTGCTGGGTCCTACGCTTCTAGGCTCTAGGCCTCTGATCCCCACACAGACCCCATATCGTAAACCTTAAACTTAAACCTAAACCTGAATTTAAGCGGAGGAACCCTGAACCCTGAACCCTAAACCCTTAAGCCAAAACAGCCTTGCAACCTCCCTCTAGCGGGCCGTGTTAGGCTTTTCATGGGTTTTGGGCTTATGGCCTGGGGTACATGATGCCTTCAGAGGGTTTGTGGGGATTGCGGGGTTTTTGGTTGATGGGGCCTATGAGGGTTATGAGGTTCATGAGGGTATTGGAGAGTTCAGGACGTAGGAAGGTTCGGAGACTTGGGTCTGGGTGCGGCCTGCAATTAGGGTTGATCGGGTTTAGGGATGAGGGGTTAGCCACTTAGTCTTTCATCTTCATAGCAATCTGCCTCATATTCTCAAGACGAGTGCTCCTCTAATGAGCCCCTAAAGCCTAACTAACCTGGATACCCTAAACTCCTAACACACCGCAAAACCCCAACGCCTAAGAACGCGCGGACCTCACCCAAACGCTCAGATCTTCCGGTTCTTTGACGCATGCCAGGATCGGAGCCAGAAACCTAACAACCCCGCAAAATACATCCCTCAACCCGAGAGGCCTAACAACCCCCGTATACTAAATCCCTAAACCCAACACCCTAACACTCCAAATCCCAAAAAACAACCAAAGATAGCCCCGAAGGTTTAGTCACTTAGTCTTTCGGCTTGGGAGCTGCTGCCCGAGGGGATTCGTTGGGTTTGGGCGGGGTTTTGCTACCATCTGCTTAAGAACCCAAAAAAAAGCACGGATTAATTATCCCTATATTGCCCTTGCAAGGAAGAAAATGTGATTTTTGGGTGGTTCTTATGCAAACAGTAGTTAGGGCTTTAGGCCTTCAGGCCTTCAGGGTTCTAGGGTTTTGGTTTAGGGTTTTTTTCGGGGTTTACGTAGGGTTTTAGGGTTTAGGGCTTGGGTGTTAGAGTGTCTAGGG